TGTGCTTTTGGCTCGGACGTCCTTGAGGACAGGCAAGAGGAGTTTCAGTATCTGGCTGCTGCTTCACCTCATCTCGCGTCTGTACTGCTTGCCCCTGAGGGAGACCCGGATGCACTAGACATCCCGACTCCGCGCTCTTACGCGGAGGCCGTAGAGGGTCCCTACTCCTCTCAGTGGCAGGCAGCTATGGATGCAGAGATGGCTTCCAGGAAGTCCACAGGCACCTACGTTAACGCGGTTCCCCCTCCTGGGGCGAACATCGTCAGTGGCATGTGGATCTTCAGGGCGAAGCGGCCGCCGGGCTCTCCACCTGTCTTCAAGGCGCGGTACGTGGCTCGTGGCTTCAGTCAGCGGCAGGGAGTTGACTACTTTCAGACCTTCTCTCCCACCCCGAAGATGACCACTCTTCGGGAGCTGCTGCACATAGCCGCTCAGCGCGACTACGAGCTCCACTCTCTTGACTTTAGCACTGCTTTCTTGCAGGGTAGCCTGCACGAGGAGATCTGGCTGCGCCGTCCACCTCGCTTCACTGGGACTTTCCCTCCTGGCACCCAGTGGAGCCTCCGACGGCCAGTCTACGGTCTCCGCCAGGCACCGCGTGAGTGGCACGACACACTGAGGACTACGCTTGCGGCTCTTGGGTTTGCTCCCTCTACTACTGACCCGTCGTTGTTTCTGCGCACCGACACTTCTCTGCCGCCGTTCTACATCCTCGTGTACGTCAACGACTTGGTCTTTGCCACAGCTGACACTGCTGGACTCGCCTACGTGAAGTCCGAGCTGCAGAAGAGACACACGTGCACAGACCTGGGTGAACTGCGCAGCTACCTTGGCTTGCAGATCACTCGGGACAGAGCACGCCGCACCATTACCTTGACTCAGTCACACATGGTGCAGCAGGTGTCAGAACATTATAGCTTACTTATTTCTGTAGGCTATAGTGGGGTATCCCATAGGGGGTACAACCCAGCTAGGGTTTCCATTTTGTACTCACTTCGTTCATAGCTCACACATTCTCTCGTTCACTTCTTCACAGCAGGTCCTTCAGCGCTTCGGCTTCACGTAGTCCTCGCCTCAGGCCACTCCTCTGTCTACTCGCCACTCGCTCTCAGCTCTGCCTTCGGATGAGTCCGTAGAGTCGAGTGGGCCGTACCCAGAGCTTGTTGGCTGCCTCATGTACCTGATGACCTGCACACGACCTGACCTTGCATACCCTCTTAGCATCTTGGCACGCTATGTTGCTCCTGGGAGACACCGACCAGAGCACATGGCTGCAGCGAAGAGGGTGTTGCGCTACTTGTGCAGTACGTCGGGCATGGGGCAAGTGCTTGGAGGGCGGAGTCCAGTGGTCCTCACTGGGCACGCGGACGCTTCTTGGGCTGACGACCAGGCTACGCAGCGGTCGTCGCAGGGTTACACCTTCAGTCTTGGTTCCAGCTCTGTTTCGTGGCGGGCTACTCGCTCGTCTTCTGTTCTCGGCTCCAGTTGTGAGGCTGAGATCTACGCCGGGGCCATGGCTGCTCAGGAGCTTCGCTGGCTCACCTACGTGCTGACTGACCTTGGAGAGCCGCCTCGTTCTCCTCCAGTGCTGTACGTAGACAACAAGGCCATGCTGGCCTTGTGTCAAGAGCAGCGCCTGGAGCACAGAACGAAGCACATTGCTCTCCGCTACTTTCTTGCTCGTGAGCTGCAGCAGCGTGGTCAGTTGCGACTTGCGTACGTGGCCTCTGAGGCCAACACTGCTGATGTTTTCACCAAGGCATTTCCGCCTTGTGATCATCAGCGTTTCTGCACTCAGCTGGGACTTGTCCCAGTCTTGCCTCACTTGCTCACCTCTTGACCTTACTTGTACTCTTGCATATATATATACCTAGTTTTGCTTGTTTAGACTTATATATATATATGTCTCCTCCTGCATGTGAACTGGCCTTGTGGCCTTGACCTTGTGCTCAGATTGTGTGGTGACGTTGTGATCCACCCTGAGCTTGCTTTGCTTGACTGGTCTTGTGACCTCTTGTTCTCCCCCACTTTGCCTATGGGGGTGTGTTAGAACATCATAGCTTATGCTTTTGTGTAGGCTATAGTGGGGTATCCCATAGGGGGTACAACCCAATTAGGGTTAGTACTTGTACCCACTTCATTCATAGTTCATTTCATTCACGTTCACTCTTTCACAGAGCCTTGTCCTCTTTAGGAGCAAAACTCAACGCGGCAAGCTTCTTCTCCAGCGATAGACGCGTGTTATCCGCAAAAGGGCCGAGCGCCTCCTTCAGCAACGGCTTTGGCGTGGCAGGCTCAGAGTGGCGACCCTTCTCCAGCGACGATCTCTCCTTGTCACCAGTCTTCGCGGGAGGAGCCATAGGCCCGGTCTTCTTCGGCGGACGACCCATGATGCAGCAAAAACGTGCACCAGATAGCAGATTTGCGATGCTTGCAATAGCCTGAGCACCACCGCATTTGAACTGTGAAGCACCGGCTTGGGTCGAGGCTTCTTCCTCGGCTTCCCATAGGAGAATCCCTGGGAGGTTGTTGAGATTGAGTTTGTGGAAAAGTCCCGAGACTTGGCCGCTGTACAACCCAATGCCTATGTGGAACGTGTAACAGAGCTCCTTAGCGCCTTGGGAAAGCCTGTTAACTTTGTTGCGACATGTAAGCCAATCCTTGGAATTGCTTTTAGGACTTTGGGAAAGCCTGACACTTGCACGGTTAGTAACATGCCCGTTGTATAGGCACAAAAAAGATACTCCCGTATGCGTCGTGTCTCGTAGTTTCCAAAACTGTCCTTTAAATCCGCAACTGATAAGAAATTGACCGACATTGGTCGGTTCAAAGGTCCTGGAGATATCCATGGCGGCCTTGAAGATTTCATCTTTTACAGTGAGTTCCAGTATACTGCGATGGATAAATTCAAGCTTGAGCATTCTGATTGAGGTTGACATAAAATGCTTGTAAGAGTGGACATTTTCTTACTGAACATATTTCACAAGTGAGAACAGCTCCATTAGTTATCACAACCAATCGGCACCTAATACAAGGTACAGTACCATCCCGACCCATCACCTTTCGCGCCAAGTCCCATCCAAACCAAAGAGCCTACAGTCCCATGTTTCCGCCGTGTTCTTTTCTTGCCCCTGTAATCCTTCACACACCTTATTTCCCCTCCTACAATATATTACTGTTTGTCCTCTTCTGCCTCCCTCGCTCTCTCTCTTTGGGACCAGGTCACCAGGGGGAATGGCGGCGTTTGTCCTTGGCAAATGACAAGAACGTCAGCGGCAGCACAGCCGATGCTTTCCTGAGCTGCCAAGTACAGATGCTTCTATGGGCAAGTCTGGCTGAACGTCATTTGCTGACGTCGATGGCCTAGCCGCAGTATTTCCTTGCCGTTTTTAACGGGAGGCGCTAGATACAGCAACATACAGACCGACGGGTTTGCCAGCAAGTCTTGAGACGTCTCATAACTTTTCTTGCTCTTATCAGCTGGAGGCGCTAGATACAGCGCCACAGCGAAGCCGGCCTACCAGCAAGCAACGGGTGCTTAGTGTCGCCTGCTACTTACTCGCGCCTTGTGTTCGAACTAAGTAACATCGTTCCGACAGCGGCTATTCAGGGTTCGCTGACCCCCCGCCAGTCTGCTGACCGGCAGCATTCCTCTATCCGTCGCCCCCATTTTGACAGTCCCTGAAGAGATATCTCTCGTCCTTGCTGCCCAACCTCGTCGTCCCCGCGCATTGTACGGTCAGCTCCACTCATCCGTCTCTCTCATATCGTTATTCCACTCAAGCTTCACTCGGCTCTGTTTCCCGGCTGTCCTTCCACTCGGCATCTTTCTTGTGTAGCTATTTACTTCAACTTTGTTCCTGCTGTTAACTAAATCGACTGGGCGAGCCGTTTCTTTTTCACTGTCGCCTGTTCTTCTTCTTTCTTAGTATCTCGTCGGTGTTCCCCAGCATTCCTCTCCTCAAACCCTTTCTCAAACCGCTGCATCGCGTTTGACTTGCCTGGATATTCCTTCTCCAAGCGGCCCATTCGCGAACTTGTTCCGTTACTTTCCTAGATCGATCCAAGTCGCCAGTGCTAACTGACGATTTCCGTCCAAATACCGCCCACTACTCGCGTCGCGCGTCACAATCAGTCGCTCGTCGAAACTATTTCAGCTACTTGTATTGAGCTCAACTGCAGCTCGAAATATATTAGAACTTAAAAAGCCGCCAGTAATCCACGGAGTCGTTGCAAGGTCGCCCTTTTTGCAAAAAAAAACAATCCGCCATAACACCAGCACCAGACTCAAAAACCCTCGCGCTGTCGCTGCCGTCGCGAAAGTTCGCAGCTGTCGTAGATTCGTCGTCCGCGTCCTGCCGGCCGTGCACGATGAGAACCGCGCAAAACCCCTCGCTTCCGACCAAACAAACCGATAATGCCGCAGCCCCCGTCCTACTCATTTCTACAGCTCTCCTTTCTAATCTCTATCCGACTTTCCTAACCCACCGGTCCCCCGATCCCCCGATCCTCCGATCCTCCGATCCTCCGATCCTCCGATCCTCCGACCCTCCGATCCTCCGATTCTCCGATCCCCCGATCCTCCGTAGCCCCCAGAGCCCCCCGTTCCCCGCGAAGCTCTCAATGCAGCCTGCCATGTTCCACGCGCGCCTTCCGCTAGCTGCTTCTGAGAATTCAAAGAACGAACTATTCCGCTAAACCCGCCGCCCAAATATTATCTTCCGCTCTTAAACGCCCATTCAATCACTCCCGCCCTCTTCGTACCCTACCTATCAACATATGTACATGTTTTTTTTTTGTTTTTTTCCGTTTCTCTGCGTACTTGCGTCTCATTTTCCCTCTCCGCCGTATCCGCGCAGGCTATACCCTATCCCGGTGCGTCTGGTCTGGTCTGCGCGGCTGGTCGGCACGCCAAAGAGGGGCCTGTGGGAGAGCGCGAAACTGGTTTCCGTTCTGCCGAGTTTGCCGAAGCGCGGGCTGCTGTTACGTCGCGGAGCGCGATGGGAGGGCGGAAGGCGCGGCACCGGATGCACGTGGGCGCGCTAGCGGCGCTCGCCGCCGCCTGCTTCGCGCTCGCCGCCGTCACAAGTGCGTCCGCCCGAGCCCGCATTGACGTTTTTTTTTCTGTGTTGCTTTGAGCGACGTCTCAAGTCGAACCCATTCTGACTGCGTCACCGTCAGCGTCAGCGCGAGTGGCAGCGTCTGCGTGTGCGGGAAGTGCAGCCGTTGTTTTAAAGACACGTGTTTCTGCGTGGTTTGAATCGCGCTCATATGGATTCCTCATTGTTTCCCCTGGGTTTGATGCTCTTCCTTGTTCTTACCCCATCCCTCACCCGCTCCCCCCTCCCCCCCTCATTTGCTTCTCCCACCGTCCCGTCTTTCCCAACCCTCGAGCAGGCATTCCAGGCGTGGCACGGCACTTATCCCTCCTCTCCACCCACCGCCCCTCCTCCTCCCCCTCTGTCCCCCTCTCCTCCTTTCCCCTTGCATCCTCCGCGCCTCCCCGCCATTTGCTGCTGCGGCGGACCGACACCATCGTGAGCGTCACTGACGGGGAGGGGGAGCTGCGCGGCGGAGGGGGGCAGGGGGAGCAAGGGGGGAACGGGAGACACGCGGAGCAGGGGGAGCAGGGTGAGGGGTTGCAGAGAGAGGGGGTGGCGGCGGAGCCTCGTGCGCCTGAGGAGGAGGAGCGATGCGAGTGAGTGAAGCACGCGCGTGGGGTGTGTGTGTGTGTGTGTGCGCGTGTGGGGATGAGGGCTCAGGGTTGGGACGAGGAATGAGTTTATGAACAAACAGCCGTTGCAGTGGGTGCTTCTGGTTTTAGGCATCGCTCGGCCATGCCTGAAGTGGGAGGTCCGTCCAAGGTTCCAGACCAGACTGCAGGTGAAGCTCCTATCCTAGCGTGCTTCTGACTCTACTCAATAGATGTTGCCCGTGCTTGACTCGAGAGTGCAGAGCAAGCGGAGAGGAGAGTTGACTCTTGTACGCTTACACGGAGAGGAGCCCATGCCCATCCACCATCGTATACGCGTTCTCACGGTCCTCGGACAAAGATTCACGGCCCTGAAACGCACACGCTCCCTGCTCCTTTTCCCCACTGATCACCGCTCTTGCGTGTCCCCCCCCCCCCCCCCCCCCCACCTCTTCCTCCCCCGCACTTCCGCCTTCGACCCACAAACATCCACCTCCCCCCGCACACACTCACTGTTCTAAAACGCACACTCCCGTTGCGTTCTTCTCCTGCCCACTCCCCATCCCCCACCCTGCCAGGGAGGCGTATGGCTGGCTGCCGTGCAGCACGTCAGTGGGGGGAAACGCGTTCCTCATGGTGGCTTATGGCTACATCATCCTCGTCGCCGCCAGACTCATTTCCGACGGCTCCGAGCTGCTGCTGCAGGTGTGCAGAGCGGTGCTGGGAGGTGCGGTGCGGTGTGCAGCGATGCGGTGTGTGGTGCTGTGCGGTGGCTGGGGATGGGGTGGTTTGGGGGGATGTGGTGGCGTGTGGTGTTGTGGTGTGCGGTGGTTGGGGGGGGGGGTGGGGTGGTGAGATGGGATGCGGTGGTGTGTGGTGTGAGTGGTCGTTTGTGGGGACGTGTGTTGAAAAGCAGGGGAAGCGATGGCAGGCTAGGGAAGCAAAGGTTGGGGGTGGGGGGAGGGGTTAAGTGGCTGCAATAAGGGGAGAATATAGTTAAGTATGGTAGCTCACTTGATAGCTAGTGCTGCTTCTGTATCTGCTATAACGAGAATACACCTACCTCTTATTGGTGACCACCCTCCCCTTCCTCTCCCCGGTCCCCTCCCTCCCATGCCGCCCTGACCATCCCCCCGTGTGCGCGTGCAGGTGCTGGACCCAGGTCTTATTGGGGGGCTGTTCCTGCCCATGCTGGGAGCCATGCCAGACACCGTGCTCATTCTGGTGCGTGCCTGCCATGTGGTGTGCCATGTGGTGTGCCATGTGGTGTGCCATGTGTGCCATGTGTGCCCTCTTGGCCTTTGGTCTGGGGGGTTCGAAGCGGCAGGCAGTGGTAGGAGCAGAGCAGGTGCTTGTGAGCAGCGGCAGCACGCTCATGAATCGTGGTTCCCTGCCATGATTCTCACTGTGGCGGGGGGGGGGAGAGAAGAGAACTTCTGCTGTGCGCCCGCTGCACCCCTCAACTCAACCCATGCATGCTCCTCACATCCTCCAGGCCACCCGCTGCACACTCCCGACGCCCACGCCCGTTCCCATGCCAAAACTCTCCCCACGCCCCACCCCCTCCCCCCTTCCACCCTCAACCCCCCAATCCCCCTCCCCTGCAGGTATTCGGGCTGGGGGGCAGCAAGGAGCAGGCGCAGGAGGAGGTGCTGGTGGGCATGGGCGCGCTGTGCTGTCAGGCACGCAGCACCCTCCCTCTCCTCGTCCCCCACTTTTCTCCCACCCCCTATCCCCGCCCCCATTACCCCCTGCAGGTGTCCGGGCTGGGCGGCAGCAAGGAGCAGGCGCAGGAGGAGGTGCTGGTGGGCATGGGCGTGCTGGCGGGCAGCACCGTCATGATCCTCACCGTCGCCTGGGGGGGCTCCCTGCTCTGCGGCCGCTGTGACCTGGAGGAGAAGCAGAGGAGCGACGGGAGTGTTGATTTGGTCGCCAGGGACAAGACGCTCACCCGCCCCTGGGACGTGAAAGGCACAGGTGGGTGTTGCTTTCTGGTGGCTGTGTGTTTGAGGCGCCTGAGAGGCAGACTGTGCGCCTGCTGTGACTTGGAGCGAGATGCAGAAGAGCGACGGGAACGTTGATTTGGTCGCCAGGGATAAGACGCTCACACGTCCCCTGGGACGTGAAAGGCACAGGTGGGTTCCAGAAGCAACAAAAGAATCACGTCAGAAGCAACAAAAGAATCATGTCAGACGCAACAAAAGAATCACGTCAGAACCAACAAAAGAATCACGTCAGAAGCAACAAAAGAATCACGTCAGAAGCAACAAAAGAATCACGTCCGGAGCAACAAAAGAATCACGTCAGGAGCAACAAAAGAATCACGTCAGACGCAACAAAAGAATCACGTCCGGAGCAACAAAAGAATCACGTCAGAAGCAACAAAATAATCGCGTCAGAAGCAACAAAAGAATCACGTCAGAAGCAACAAAAGAATCACGTCAGGAGCAACAAAAGAATCACGTCAGAAGCAACAAAAGAAACACGTCAGAAGCAACAAAAGAATCACGTCAGAAGCAACAAAAGAATCACGTCAGAAGCAACAAAAGAATCACGTCAGAAGCAACAAAAGAATCACATCAGAAGCTCAGTTTTGCATGCGCCTCATTGATTGTCTCACTGTTTTGTTTGTATGAGACCGCAAGAAGCAGAGGCACGATGGGGGCATTGACATGCACACATACAGATACGGACAGCAATGCATGGCTCCCAACCAACCCTCCCTCTCCCCCCTCCTCTCCCGCATCCTCCCTGTGTGTGTGACGCGCCTGAAACCCCATCCATGGCCCCTGCGCATGGCAGGGGTGACAACGGACGAGCAGACGCGCCTTGGAGCGTGGATCATGATGGCCACTGTCATACCCTTTGTCATCATGCAGGTACGGTCATACCCTTTGTCATCATGCAGGTACGGTCATACCCTTTGTCATCATGCAGGTACGGTCATACCCTTTGTCATCATGCAGGTATGGTCATACCCTTTGTCATCATGCAGGTACGGTCATACCCTTTGTCATCATGCAGGTACGGTCATACCCTTTGTCATCATGCAGGTACGGTCATACCCTTTGTCATCATGCAGGTACGGTCATACCCTTTGTCATCATGCAGGTACGGTCATACCCTACGTGCACGTTAGCTGTTTAGAGGCGTCTTTAAAGTTTCGAGGCGTGTCAAAACACTACGTGCCTAATGCACGCACGTACGTTAGCTGGCTACCAACATGAGTTCAATCAGCAATACCATTCAAGTCAGTGCGTGTGTGTGAGACCTTCCCTCGCCCCCAACTTGCCATGCACGCTGTCCTCCCTCTCCCCTCTCCCCTCTCCCCTCTCCCCTCTCCCCTCTCCCTCTCCCTCTCCCCTCTCCCCTCTCCCCTCTCCCCTCTCCCCTCTCCCCTCTCCCCTCTCCCCTCTCCCCTCTCCCCTCTCCCCTCTCCCCTCTCCCCTCTCCCCTCTCCCCTCTCCCTCTCCCCTCCCTCTCCCCTCTCCCCTCTCCCCTCTCCCCTCTCCCTCTCCCCTCTCCCCTCTCCCCTCTCCCCTCTCCCCTCTCCCTCTCCCTCTCCCTCTCCCCTCTCCCCTCTCCCCTCTCCCCTCTCCCCTCTCCCCTCTCCCCTCTCCCCTCTCCCCTCTCCCCTCTCCCCTCTCCCCTCTCCCCTCTCCCCTCTCCCTCTCCCCTCTCCCCTCTCCCCTCTCCCCTCTCCCCTCTCCCCTCTCCCCTCTCCCCTCTCCCCTCTCCCCTCTCCCCTCTCCCCTCTCCCCTCTCCCTCTCCCCTCTCCCCTCTCCCCTCTCCCCTCTCCCCTCTCCCCTCTCCCCTCTCCCCTCTCCCCTCTCCCCTCTCCCCTCTCCCCTCTCCCTCTCCCCTCTCCCTCTCCCCTCTCCCCTCTCCCCTCTCCCCTCTCCCCTCTCCCCTCTCCCCTCTCCCCTCTCCCCTCTCCCCTCTCCCCTCTCCCCTCTCCCCTCTCCCCTCTCCCCTCTCCCTCTCCCCTCTCCCCTCTCCCCTCTCCCCTCTCCCTCTCCCCTCTCCCCTCTCCCCTCTCCCCTCTCCCCTCTCCCCTCTCCCCTCTCCCCTCTCCCTCTCCCCTCTCCCTCTCCCTCTCCCCTCTCCCCCTCTCCCCTCTCCCCTCTCCCCTCTCCCCTCTCCCCTCTCCCTCCCTCTCTCCCCTCTCCCCTCTCCCCTCTCCCCTCTCCCCTCTCCCCTCTCCCCTCTCCCTCTCCCTCCTCCCCTCTCCCCTCTCCCCTCCTCCCCTCATCTCCCCTCTCCCCTCTCCCCTCTCCACCTCTCCCCTCTCCCCTCTCCCCTCGTCCCCGTCCCCCGTCCCCCGTCCCCCCTCCCCGCCCTCGGATCCGCCCCGGAAGGTGCCGTTCATGGACGGGGGGCAGTACCCCGAGTACCAGGCGCGCATCACGCCGCTGCTGGGGCTGCTGCTCTCCACCGCCGGCCTCGTTGCATATTGCGCCTACCAGGTGTGTGTGTGAGGGGTGCGCCTACCAGGTGTGTGTGTGAGGGGTGCGCCTACCAGGTGTGTGTGTGAGGGGTGCGCCTACCAGGTGTGTGTGTGAGGGGTGCGCCTACCAGGTGTGTGTGTGAGGGGTGCGCCTACCAGGTGTGTGTGTGAGGGGTGCGCCTACCAGGTGTGTGTGTGAGGGGTGCGCCTACCAGGTGTGTGTGTGAGGGGTGCGCCTACCAGGTGTGTGTGTGAGGGGTGCGCCTACCAGGTGTGTGTGTGAGGGGTGCGCCTACCAGGTGTGTGTGTGAGGGGTGCGCCTACCAGGTGTGTGTGTGAGGGGTGCGCCTACCAGGTGTGTCTGTGAGGGGTGCGCCTACCAGGTGTGTGTGTGAGGGGTGCGCCTACCAGGTGTGTGTGTGAGGGGTGCGCCTACCAGGTGTGTGTGTGAGGGGTGCGCCTACCAGGTGTGTGTGTGAGGGGTGCGCCTACCAGGTGTGTGTGTGAGGGGTGCGCCTACCAGGTGTGGGCGTCTGTTGCCGAGCATTCGTCCAAGTAGGTTGGCCCCTGCACTGCACGCATGCTGCACCTCCCTGCTCGCTCCCACCCTACCCGTCTTCCTCTCGTTTCCCTCTCACACCTGCTGCCGCCGTTCCATCTCCCCTGCAGCAGCATCACAGCAATCCCTAATGCATGCTACCTGCAGCACGCGCGCTTCCTCCTAATTACCTATGCCTCAACCCGTGCCTGGCACCTCATGCCTGCATGCACCGGGAAAGGAAACCCCCAAACTCCCTTCCCCCTCTCCCCCTTCCCCTTTTCTACCACCACAGGTGCTCTCCTCCTGCGTGCAGTCGTCTGAGATCGATCCACTATGCTCATACGAGCATACGAAGGAGATCCACTACGCTCGTATGCACCAGGAAATCCTTCCAACCTGCACTTGCTCTCTTTGTCCCTCCTGGCCTGGCCCACCCTCCCAACCCAACCAAACTCCCTCCACCATCTATCCCCCCTTATCTCTCCGTCACTCCCCCAGGTGCTGTCCCCGTGGTGCAGTCGTCCAAGATCCACTACGCGCGCATGCACCTGATGCAACGCAACACCCACTCCTCCTCTCCTTCCTGCCCACTCCCCCAAACCTCTCCCCCCTCGCCAGGTGCTGTCCCCCTGGCTGCAGTCGTCCAAGATCCACTACGCGCGCATGCACCTGATGCGAGCGCGCGCGCTGCACTACCTGCACGACCTGGCGCTGCAGAACACGTGGGGCGGGCTGCTGCTGCCCGACGGCACGCCCAACCGCGAGACCATCCACCGCGTGTTCCGGCACTTTGACGAGGACGGCAACGGCACGCTCTCCCGCAGCGAGCTCAAGGGACTCGTGCTGGGCCTGGGGATTCGCAGCCAGGTGGGGGGTGGGGGAAGGAATCCGGACTGAGGGAGGGAGGATCAGGAACCAGGTGCTGGGGAGACATACCAAGGAGACGGCCTTGGGGTTTTGGGACTCTCCATAGGGTTGTTGTAGCTTACTCGGGTATGCCAACTTGTTTCTTGCACTGGAGCTGGGAATTAGAGGGATTTTTATCGGAATGCTGACGTGGGAGTGTGGGTGAAAAGAGAGGGGGCGGGGCTGGGCAAGGGGAGTCGGGGAGCTGTGGTTGTCATAACTTGCGCCAGGGGTGGGTACCTGTGTCGGTGACTTGCGCCGAAGTGGAGAACGATGCTCAGGGGGGCGAGGCGAGCGCCCCGTGTCTGGATGGACGCTGGCGCACGGAACTCTCTGATTCTGGACTGGACTGGACGCGTCTTTCTCCTCTCCACTTGGACTTGCGCCAAAGAGTGTCGGGCGTGCTTGAGCAGATTGGACTCGCTTACTTTTGAGGGGTTTCGAAAGAGACTGAGCTGCTGGGGAGTCTAGTCTCGTGTTGACTTGTGTCTGAGCTGTGACTGTGCTCGCATGTGGCTTGTGTACGCGATGCATTCTCATTCTCTCTCTCTCTCTCTCTCTCTCTCTCTCTCTCTCTCTCTCTCTCTCTCTCTCTCTCTCTCTCTCTCTCTCTATATCTTTCTCTCTCTCTCTCTCTCTCTCTCTATATCTTTCTCTCTCTCTCTCTCTCTCTCTCTCTCTCTCTCTCTCTCTCTCTCTCTCTCTCTCTCTCTCTCTCTCTCTCTCTCTCTCTCTCTCTCGCGCGCGCGCGCGCACGGCAAATGCCTCTGCCCTTGTCCTTGTTTTGGATGGATCCATGCACGTGCGCGTTCATGTGCTCATGTGCATGTGTGCGTGCATGTGCTCATGTGCATGTGTGCGTGCATGTGCTCATGTGTGCATCCCTGCGTGCACATGCCCGGCCAGCAGGCACCAGGAGACGTGCCGGCAGACGATGAGGTGGCAGCATGGATGCGCGACTTTGACGCCAACTCCGATGGCGAGATTGGCCATGTCAGTCACTGAGAGAGAGGGAGGGAGGGGGACATGCGGGAGAGGGGGGGAGGGGGGTAGAGGGTGGCACATGAGAAGGGGGGGTTTGACACGCAAGAGGGGGAATGGCATGGGATGGGAGGAAAAGGGGTGCTACAGGAATGGGTTGGCATGGCGGGGGGGGGGAAGCGGTGGTATGAGGCGGCTGGCTTGGGATGGTGGCTTGGGATGGTGGCTTGGGATGGTGGCTTGGGATGGTGGCTTGGCGTGGAGGGGTGGCATGGGGCGGGCAGCGTGGGTTGGGTGGTTTGGGATGGGTGCATGGGGGTTGACTTTTCAGTCGACTCAAAAGTCAACTCGGGATGGGTGCATGGGGGTTGTGTGATATTCTGTTGTCAACATGGACTCTCTGTGATGTATGACTTCAAATCCATGCCACTCCCTGCCATCTCATGCCATGTTGTTGCAAGTGAACTCCATGCCCCTGCCCCTGCCCCTGCCCCTGCCACTGTCTGTGCCACTTCAACCCCCCTGTAGCACACAACTGTATGGTAACCCTTCCCCTTTTTATCATGCCTTGCGTTGCATTCCCTTTCCCTGGTAAATCATGGCTTGGCATGGCGTGCCACACTGCTGTGGCCATGGCGTGTCCCAGACTTTCCTTGCACTCTCTCTCTCTCTCTCTCTCTCTCTCTCTCTCTCTCTCTCTCTCTCTCTCTCTCTCTCTCTCTCTCTCTCTCTCTCTCTCTCTCTCTCTCTCTCTGGAATGGCATGGCATGGCATGGCATGGCATGGCTCGGCACGGCACGGCACGGCACGGCATGGCGCACGTGCATGGTGGTGGCGTGGTGGGGTGGCTTGCACTGCTACAGGAGGAGTTCATGTCAGGCATGCTGCGGTGGATCACCCACCACTCCTCACCCTCCCATCGCCCCTCCACCATGTCCCTCCTCCGAGGCGCCAGGTCACTCTCTCTCCCCTCCCCCCCTCTCCGCTTTCCACTCTCCCCTCTCCGCTCTCCCCTCTCCGCTCTCCCCTTTCTCCTCTCCCCTCTCCCCTCTCCCCTCTCCCCTCTCCACACTCCCACACCTGTCACCCGCCCATCAGCCACATACGAGTCTAGTTTTGAGGCGCCCATCAGCCACATACGAGTCTAGTTTTGAGGCGCCCATCAGCCACATACGAGTCTAGTTTTGAGGCGCCCATCAGCCACATACGAGTCTAGTTTTGAGGCGCCCATCAGCCACATACGAGTCTAGTTTTGAGGCGCCCATCAGCCACATACTAGTCTAGTTTTGAGGCGCCCATCAGCCACATACGAATCTATGAAGCGGGCATCAGTGAGAATCAAGTCAAAAGCCACCCACTTCTTAGAGTCCTTTCATAGCTGTGCCATAGTAGACATGTTACGCGCGTGCCTTCCTTCTCTTGCATTGAGCCCGGCCTTACATGCATGGTGCTACCATTGCAGGCCGTGGGGGGTTTGAGCGAGGAGGGAAGCAGAGCAGCAGGGATTGTGAGAGGGCGGAAGGGGGGCGAGGGGGGAGAGGAGGAGATCTGGAAAGAAAGAGGGAGGATGGGGGAGAGTGGGTGAGCGTGACAGCAGGACAGTGGGATAGATGAGAGAGGGAGAGAGGAGAGAGGGAGAGAGGAGAGGGGGAGAGAGGAGAGAGGAGAGAGGGAGAGAGGAGAGGAGAGAGGGAGAGGTAAAAAGAGGGAGAGAAGGGAGGCGAGAGAGGAACCAAAGGTTGTGTTTATCCTTCATCCTCCGTCCTCATCCCTCACTCCTCCTCCCTCCCTCCTCACACCTCTCCCTCTACATTTTTGCTGTAATGGCTGGAGAAGAGAGGGGAGAGGATCTAAAGGCCGTGTTCTATCCCCACCCGTCGCCGCTCATCCCACACGTGTCATCGCCCTCCCTCGTCACTCCTCCCTCCTTCCTCACTCCTCACGCCTCAACCCTCACTCTTCCCTCCACAGTGCAGTCTACGAGCTCTGGGAGGGGCAGCTGGCAAACGCTAAGGGGCAGCTGGAAGGGGCTGGAGCAGAGAGAGGGGAGAGGTATTCCTGAAAGTTGTGTTGTATCCCCACCCCTCGCCCCTCTCATCTCCCTTCTCCCTCCGCAGTGCGGACAACAAGTTTTGGGAGGGGCAGCTGGCAAACGCTAAGGGGCAGCTGGAGGGGCTGGAGCAGGAGCTGGAGGAGGAGGTGGAGGACAAGGAGGAGGAGGAGGTCAAAACGCCTGCTCAGATCTACCGCGAGGTGGGGGGTGTGGCGCGGGTTGGGTGGGTTGGTTGGTGGGGGGCGTGTGGGTGGGTGGGGCATGGCAAATGGCACGGGGTGATTTGGCACAGGTTCAGGCCTCTGTTCGCGCGGAGGAGGACGAGGAAGAGGAGGTTGTCAAAACGCCCGCGCAGATCTACCATGAGGTGCGAGGGGGTGGGGCGTGGGTGGGTGGGTGGGTGCATGCTGTGATGCTCACGTAATTCTGTCTCCTCTGTTGGGCGTGTATAGGCCGTCACACACTCTTGTTGCACCGTGACATGCCACAAGGGCCATGCCTTGGGCTATAGCTTGGGGCATGGCTTGGGCCATGGGACTGGGGTAGGATTCTCACCTGGGTTTGGGTTTAGGCCCCGCTTGCTCTTCACCCTCTCTTCCCCTGTGCCCTTTTTTCTCTCAGCTCCCCCCTCCCTCTCTCTTCCTCTCAATCTTTCCCCCTCTTCCACTCTCCCTCTCTTCCGCTCCCTTTCTCCCTCCTGCTCTCCCCCTCTCTCTCCTCCTCTCACTCTCACTCCCACTCCCTCTCCCTCTCCTCCTCCCACTCCCACTCCCTCTCCCTCTCCCACTCCTTCTCCCTCTCCCTCTCCCTCTCCCTCTCCCACTCCCTATCCCTCTCCCTCTCCCTCTCCCACTCCCTCTCCCTCTCCCTCTCCCTCTCCCACTCCCTCCCCCACTCCCTCTCCCTCTCCCTCTCCACTCCCACTCCCTCTCCCTCTCCCTCTCCCACTCTCTCTCCCACTCCCTCCCCCACTCCCTCTCCCTCTCCCTATCCCTCTCCCTCTCCCTCTCCCACTCCCACTCCCTCTCCCTCTCCCTCTCCCTCTCCCTCTCCCTCTCCCTCTCCCTATCCCTATCCCTCTCCCTCTCCCTCTCCCTCTCCCACTCCCAATCCCTCTCCCTCTCCCTCTCCCACTCCCTCTCCCTCTCCCTCTCCCACTCCCTATCCCTCTCCCACTCCCTCTCCCTCTCCCTCTTCCTCTCCCTATCCCTCTCCCTATCCCTCTCCCTATCCCTCTCCCTCTTCCTCTCCCACTCCCTATCCCTCTCCCACTCCCTCTCCCACTCCCTCCCCCTCTCCCTCTCCCACTCCCTATCCCTCTCCCTCTCCCACTCCCTATCCCTCTCCCTCTCCCTCTCCCACTCCCTTTCCCTCTCCATCTCCCTCTCCCACTCCCTATCCCTCTCCCTCTCCCACTCCCTCTCCCTCTCCCTATCCCTCTCCCTATCCCTCTCCCTCTCCCTCTCCCACTCCCTATCCCTCTCCCTCTCCCTCTCCCTCTCCCTCTCCCTCTCCCTCTCCCTCTCCCTCTCCCTATCCCTATCCCTATCCCTCTCCCTCTCCCACTCCCTATCCCTCTCCCTCTCCCTCTCCCTCTCCCTCTCCCTCTCCCTCTCCCTATCCCTATCCCTCTCCCTCTCCCACTCCCTTTCCCTCTCCATCTCCCTCTCCCACTCCCTATCCCTCTCCCTCTCCCTCTTCCTCTCCCTCTCCCTCTCCCTCTCCCTCTCCCTCTCCCTCTCCCACTCCCTATCCCTCTCCCACTCCCTCTCCCTCTCCCACTCCCTATCCCTCTCCCACTCCCTCTCCCACTCCCTCTCCCTCTCCCTCTCCCTCTCTCTCTCCCTATCCCTATCCCTCTCCCTCTCCCACTCCCTATCCCTCTCCCTCTCCCTCTCCCTCTCCCTCTCCCTCTCCCACTCCCTATCCCTCTCCCTCTCCCTCTCCCTCTCCTTCTCCCTCTCCCACTCCCTATCCCTCTCCCTCTCCCACTCCCTCTCCCTATCCCTCTCCCTATCCCTCTCCCTCTCCCTCTCCCTATCCCTATCCCACTCCCTATCCCTCTCCCTCTCCCTCTCCCTCTCCCTATCCCTCTCCCTATCCCTCTCCTTCTCCCTCTCCCACTCCCTATCCCTCTCCCTCTCCCTCTCCCTCTCCCTCTCCCTCTCCCACTCCCTCTCCCTCTCCCTCTCCCTCTCCCTCTCCCACTCCCTCTCCCTCTCCCTCTCCCACTCCCTCTCCCACTCCCACTCCCTCTCCCACTCCCTCTCTCTCTCCCTCTCCCTTTCGCGCTCCCTCGGCCCCGATGCACCTGCGGCAGGCCATAATGCTGATAGCAGGAGGGGCAGTGCTGGTGGGATGCTTTGCAGACCCTGTGATTGGCTCCATCACTGCCTTCTCCAGGTGGGTGCCATACTTCTGATACTGGTGATGGTGATGGTGGTGATGCTTGTCCTGGTTTGTGGTGACTCCCAGACCCTGTCATTGGCTCCATCACTGCCTTCTCCAGGTGGGTGCCATGCTGCTGCTGTCATTTGCATCTTGTGCACAGCACAGCACGGCACGGCACGGCGCAGCACAGCACAGGACGGATAGGCAGGAAAGCAGGCAAATTTAGGCACATCTCACTCTTCTTCGCTCCACTTCCCACTCGCCTCTTCCTTCCTCTCCCGTCTCCGCTCTCCCCACCTCTCTCCTCACCACTCTCCCCTCTCCTCCATCCCCTCTCCCCTCGCCCCCCTCTCCCCTCGCCCCCCTCTTCCCTCGCCAGTGTCTCAAACACCCCAGTCTTCTTTGTGCTGTTTGTGGCTTTTGAACCGACTGAACAGTCACTCACCCCTTCCTCGTCTCCCCTTGCCCTCCTCCCTCCCCCACTCCAGGGCGTCGCACATCCCGGCGTTCTTTGTGGCGTTTGTGGTGACGCCGCTGGCATCCAACGCGAGTGAGCTCGTGTCCTCGCTCTACTTCGCCATGAAGAAGCGTCGCCGCACCGCCTCGCTCACCTACTCGCAGGTCTACGGCGCCATCACCATGAACAACACCATGTGAGTCGCGTCGCCCCACGCACTCACGCTATGGGGTTCAGGCTGTTGAGGCACGCCTTGTAAGGTCCTTTACGGCCCATACACGGTGCCTCGCTCACCTACTCGCAGGTGTACGGCGCCGTCACCATGAACAACACCTTTTGAGTCGCACGTGTCCCTCGCCAGCCCGTGGCTTCTGTTGGCTTTCGGGTCCTGTCTGTGCCATGGGAAAGGGCACGCGTCATCTCATCTCACTCACCTACTCGCAGGTCTACGGCGCCATCACCATGAATGAGCAACACCATGTGAGTCCGACCAAGGGCCCAGCTTTTCTGCCGTGTCTTTCTGGCCTCGACTTTGCTTCGCCTTGACGAAGCGCAAGCGCTCCGCCTCGCTCACCCACTCGCGGGTCTACAGGGCCATCACCATGACCAACACCCTACTCCCCGCCACCCCCTCTCTCCACCCTTCAGGTGTCTGGGCACATTCCTGGCGCTGATCTATTTCCGCGGCCTAGCGTGGCAGTTCAGCAGCGAGGTTGTCATTATCCTGCTCTGCTCTCGTCCCCACCTCCTCTTCGTCCGCTCTTCCCCCCCCCCCCCCTCCCCCTTCCCCCCCTTCCTTCTCTCCACCCTTCAGGTGTCTGGGCACATTCCTGGCGTTGATCTATTTCCGCGGCCTAGCGTGGCAGTTCAGTAGCGAGGTTGTCATTATCCTGCTCAACACCTTTGTGGTCGGCCTCCTGGGCGGCAGCCGCCACACCTTCCCCACCTGGATGGCGTTCCCTGTCCTCTTGCTCTACCCTGTGTCGCTTGCCATTGTGGCTTGTCTTGACATGTACCTGGGATGGCAGTGAGGGGAATGAAGGATAAGATTAGGTTCATAGGGGTTTAGGGGCAGAGGAAGTGTGGAGGGAGAGCAGAGATAACAATGACAAATCATGGAGGGTGAGTGGTAGGAATTGTAGTGGTGCCTCTTGGGAGGGGATGTAGGTAGCTTGTATGGGATGGCATTGCTGGTCTCCTATACAGCATCTCCCTCTTTTTGGGTTGCGTATCAACCCTATATAATTGGTTTCACTTATTGGGGATATCATTTCAAGAGTGTTTTCTAAAAGCTTGCAGCTAAAATAGTGATCCCCCCCTTCTAGTTGGGTCCACTTGAAGTATTGACGTTTTGGAAAAGTTGGAAGTGTTATGTTTTTTCCTTTTCAAATGCGCTTGATACTGTTCGGGTCTTCACAGATTTCGTCAATAAAAAATCGTCGCAAGAATGTGCAATGCACGCGCAAGTACAAAGTGTCGCAAGTTTGCGACGTGCAAGTCCCATTCACATTCCAGTGTCAAATTCACTGATTGTGGCATGTGCAATTCACGCACAGCAAACGCCATAGACAAATTGAGCAAGCTTGCTTTCTGTTCTTGCAATGGCAACGTGCTTCATTAGAATTGCAGTAATTACAGCATTCTCGTCCAACCATAAATCATACATGTAAATGACCAGGGTGGGTGGGTGGGGAGAGGAACTGCAAAGTTCCAAAATGAAGACGTGGGTGGAGGCCGAATGGCCTCCAACCCTCTTACATATTCGGCGAATGGTAATTCGCAGTTGCCTTGCTGCACTACAGTCAGTTGCGCTTTCACAACACGCATTTTTAGAGAGTGTTACACACTTTCAGAAAAATTCATATTGAGAAAGTTAGCTTTCTGTTCTTGCAATGGCAACGTGCTTCATTGGAATTGGGTCGTCTGAGACATGTGTGGTTGGGGACGTTGAGGACGTGTAGTTGCGATTGATGGCGTCGACGAAGTGCTGAGAGGGGTGCCGTTTGTAATTGCGCTCTCCGTGTTGATAGGGTTCGGAATGTTGTGCATGGAGATTGCTCGTTCCCTGGGTGTGGTGGATGTCCTGGTTGTTGGTGCGGCAGTAGAGTAGAGTGTGTTGAACTGGTGGTAGTTGGTGTTTTCGGGCGTATCCGAAGTGACCATGTAGCTGGATGTTGGTGCATGTCAGCCCTCGATGAATAATTGCGACCGTCAGGATTCGCCGACATCTGTTGTTCACTGTTGAGGATGCGAACGAGCTGACGGATGGATAACAAAGCACGATACCATGCGAGTGATTTCTATGTGACGGATTGAGAGGCAACTGCATTTTTTCTGAATGAGTTTTAGTGTCATGAGCTGCCTTTCATGTTCGTAGGTGTTCGCTGGAACACACCAAAGGACAAAACTCCCACGGAAGGAAGGATGCCAACTGGCGCACAACCATCAGGAAGAGAAATCGCAACTAGGGAAGGAGGTTGGGTAGCTTGGGATGGGTGTAGTCTGAGGCGTAAGGGATGCGCTAGGAAGAGTACTATATGAACGCTAGTCAAATATATCGACTGGTAGGAAATTTCATCCATGCCATCATTTGGAATATGGATTTCGTTTAACAAAAAAGATAAGTTATTGTATAGCAACGCTCTTTCAACCGAACACTCGCTTGTCTATGTTGCCCTACGAGTATCATGGCCGATATCTTCAGTCGTTGACTAGAGCTCGATGCATCCCTATAGTTCTTTATGTAGAGTACCGCAACGTAGATCTTGGTGTGTCAAATGGTATGAGGATCTGACCATCAACGGAGTTGATCTATACAGTATCGATAACCTTGATTAGACGACTGTGTGAGCACCTCCAAACTACTCTATGGCCATGCAGGACCTAATAGTGTGCTTGCTAGCCAACGACGATGTGAAATACACACAGATGGGAGCGAGTTTGGGCAATGTGCTTCCATGTTCGCCGCATGGTGCATGCGTCCAAGCATATATACGGTATTATGAAAAGTAGGACTCCTACCGTATTTCCCTTGATCAACAATGAAATATTACTCTTCTCAGCAACCAAAATCGTATAAATATCTCCATTATAAGGCCACAATAAGTATCATACCAGCCTCCCTTCCTTGGGGAACAGCCCTCTGGCCATCAAGGACCTTCTGCTCCTTTCCCCTCGGGAAATGGCCCTCTGACCACCAACGGGACCCTGGGTATAGAATATGAAACAATGAAATGTGCTACGGTATTATGGGATTGACATTTCAATGTGATGTGTGCTTCAAACAGTTTGATGCTCCCGACTAACTACAGCGCGAGTGTTTGAACTTGAACTGGATACCATAGTAGGGGAAGCTGTCTGGCGTGGTGGTTAGACGAGAACTTCATGAAGAGTCAATCTGTAACTCCCAACGGCGCATCCATGTTAATTCGATGCGCGGACTGTTGATGGGTACCCAACATTTCTCAATCATTGAGAATCATGTACCTCGCTTGTCAAGCATGTACCGGTATGATAGAACAAGGTGGATGTGCAGTGCACGATGGCGAAAGCCCTATCCCTTCCGCATTGCCCTCATGCAAAGAAAACAATGATTGAGGTTGAGGTTAGGTGTGTGTAACCAGTGAGATTCAAAAACATTCCATAGTTGCCCTTTACCAACCAAACATTTGTAATCAGATCGCTCCAATCAAATTCTCCCCTAATTTTAGGTGGGGCTTAGAATCAACAATTTTGGGTCAAAATGCTCACGGTGGGGCTAAAAAACTCCTCGTTTTTAACTTATGCACATTGCAATAACCAAGGATGATTTACATCAACGTATACCGTACAATCAGTTCTGCGCATCCAACATTAGAGTCTACATGTATTTCCTGAAGGCAATGGACTTCTGGCTAGCGCAGAACTTCGGGCCACTGTTCCCTCGTATGTAAAAACAGCTCTCGAGCCACACGGGGACCCTTGGTCCCCTCTCCCCCCTGGGGGGCGGCTCTTAGGCCACCCCCCAGACCCTCGGTCCCCTTTCCCCCCTGGGGGACGGTTCTCAGGCCACATGGGGACCTTCGGTCCCCTTCCCCCCCTAAGGGACTGCTCTCAGGCCACGCGGGGACCCTCAGTCCGCTTCCCCCCCTAAGGGACTGCTCTCAGGCCACATAGGGATCCTCGGTACCCTCCCCCCCTGGGGGACGGCTCTCAGGCCACGCGGGGACCCTCGGTCCCCTCCCCCCCTGGGGGACGGCTCTCAGGCCACGCAAGGACCCTCGGTCCCCTCCCCCCCTGGGGGACGGCTCTCAAGCCACGTGGGGGCCCTCGGTCCCCTCCCCCCCCCCCCCCCCCCCCCCCCTGGGGAACGGCTCTTAGGCCACACGAGGACCCACGGTCCCGTATTTTCATTGGGGGGTGTCCCTGGGTGCGCGTGCGGTTGATCTTGTCGCTGGTGCGATTTCTTCCCCGCGACTGGTAGAGTCCCACTTTTGTGGTGTTGAGCCCGGTTTTCTTGGGGTTGAGCCCGGTTTTCTGCCACCAAGGGATTGAAGCAGCGGGGGGATTAATAGACAATAAGAGGAGATGACATAACAGAAAAATAAATGAAAAGGCTTGCAGCACTTCAACAAACGACTCAAAATTGGTGATTGGCTCCCAGTCAAGGAAGTCCTGTCACTGCCGTTCTAGTGGCGATTTCGTGGCACAGGTGTGCGTGTGTCGATTTCGCCACTGGCGCAAGTGCTGCGCGCGAGCGTGTGGCGATTTTGCCACTGGCGCAAGAGCTGCAGGCGAGCGTGTGGCGATTTCGTCCCTGGCGCGCGCCACTGGCGCCTGTGGCGATTTCGTCCCTGGCGCGCGCCACTGGCGCCAGTGGCGATTTCGTCCCTGGTACACGCCACTGGCGCCAGTGGCGATTTCGTCCTTGGCGCGCGCCACTGGCGATTTCGTCCATGGCGCGCGCCACTGGCGATTTCGTCCTTGGCGTGACAGTTGCAATTTCCTCCGGCGCACTTCGCTTTCAGTTGAACGCACGCCAGGTATAGTCGCATGTGTACTTCCGTTGCCTTTCACGGTTGATAAGTCTGTCTTGTCTACGAGGTAGTGTAAGAATCAAAGTGACAACGGAAAAACTAAGTGGTTGGACGAGAATGGAGAGGAACTGCAAAGTTCCAAAATGAAGACGTGGATGGAGGCCGAATGGCCTCCAACCCTCTTATATATTCGGCGAATGATAATTCGCAGTTGCCTTGTTGCGCTACAGTCAGCTACGCTTTCACAATACGCATTTTTAGAAAGTGTTACACACTTTCGAAAAATTTCATTCATGTTAAGGGGGGATTTTCTGTTCCTTTTGAACAGTACTTTCCCAACCCATCCAACTCATCCTTATCCTTATCTTCCTAGATTTCCTAGTGCCACGTGGCACTCTACTTTCTTTGCCTTCTAGTTCCTAGTCCCACAACCCACTTTCCTTCAATTGTTCTTGCATGCTATATCAACCTTGCTTGTATTCCCTCATATCAATCAATTCTCATTCAACTCTTCTTCAATTACTCAGTAACTTCTTCGCCTATTTCGCTAGTAGTTCTTTCGCCAAAGTCTTCCACCGCGTTTCATCCTCGACTTAGTCGACATCGCTAATTCTTTAGCGGACTTAGGCCGTCTGCCCTAACACTTGGTATCAAGAGCCTTCGCGGGGAGCGACTTCCAACGAGCGACCGTCAACGACGAGACTACGACGTCATCGTCCCGCGGTGCCGACTTGCAGACTTGGAGTCGTCGAGCCAACACGGACGAGACCATGAACGCTCTCCCCAACGACATGGGCAACACGCTTGCTCAACTCATGCGCCAACTCGAACAGTTGACGTTGGAAAATCGTCAGATACGGGCTGAAATGTAACAGCTTCGTGAATTCACGTCAATTTCTCATGGTCATGCCGCACCATCTCCTGCACCCAATACATCGACTCGCGCGGAAGCGCTGCTGGAACGTCGAAGCGCACTCAAGCCGCAGAAACCCGAGTCGTTCGACCCAAGTCAACGC